TTACCATAGTTAATGTATTTCTGTCTAATTATAAATATTACACGTATTAAAAGCAGTGTATAATATGCCCAGAGTAACACCTTACCATAGTTAATGTATTTTTATCTAATTATAAATATTACACGTATTAAAACCACAAAGGTAAGAATCTATTTAACACAAAAACATATTTTCTGCAGTTTAAAATTCCTAATATTTAACCTTTAAATGATAAGTTTTTGTGAACTATTTTAATTTTCTGAACTCAAGACAGAAACTCACTTTAGTTTTTCAAAACTTTCAGGCTCCAAGGTCCACAACTCTTCTACCTGTACACCTTTAACCCCTAGAAAGATACCAATCATGTTAAGAAGCCATATTACTCATTTCAGTTTCACATACTACTACTGTCACCTATTAATACTGTAATGAAGGGTTATAGATAAACTAATAGATTTTGATTTTATTAATTTCTTTTCCAGCTTTTTACATCAAAACGAAGCCAGCAAATCTAAAACTCGTAATTCAGTTGATTCAATCCTAGGAGACATTAACAAGTATCTCGGTCACACAAGACAAACAACAAAATTGTCACTTGTAGTAAACATTTTACAACAGATATCTAATGATCAGATGTTTTAAGGTTTATACAAAACATACCTTATATTACCTTAAAAACCTCAAGACAGAAGTATTTTTAACAGGCTAGCAACAAGAAACAAGTCATAACTAAATCAGAAGTTATAAATCTAGTAACAGTGACATAAAGTTTACTGTGTTAAGTCTAGAAATTTAGACTTTGACTACATGGTCAATCACTGATCTTGCAGTCACAAGTAAATTGTGCAAAAAATACCACAGCTGTGTATTAAAATTAGGGTCTAGCAGTAAGTTTCAGGTCCCAGGTTATGGTCCTTGTGCTCTTCACCTCCACTAAACTGAGCAACAACAGATTCTTTTCGTCACTCCCTCCATCTAGCCTCCCATCGAGCTCTTCCTTCCATTTTTAATTTTAATATCAAGCCTTCCACATTTCTGATGAAGTCTTTGTTTCTTGATTTTTACATTAAGCCTTCTTCCTGAGTCTTCCTTTAATTTTTAAATTAAGCCTCCTACCTTCCTAACCTCTTCCTTTCCTAAATTTTATTCTAACTTTAATAGATACTCAACGAACAGGACAACAGTTAATAATTAAGCAGTTTTACTCAAGTTAAAGTCATGAAATTTAGTTTTTATTATTGGACTCGCATTTTAGAATTGCTTCTTGCAAATGAAACTTGTTTTTCTATTGGTCCATCTTTTACTTAAAACTTCTTAAAATTTGGAATGACAAATGTTATTATAGTAAATTAGTTATCTGTATATTTTACACAATGGTTATAAGAAATCTTATGATATAAATGGAACCATGAAAAATTAACATCTGATTTCCATACTGATCTTCACTACATATCAACATACTGACAACATATAGGAGAAGAGTTAATAATATTCTAAATTAGTTAAAACGTGGCTGAAACCTTGTGAAATATTATTATGATTACAGCCAAAAATATTGGCACCAATGAAAGTACCTAAGTAATGAAACAATATACTTTAATACTCATTACCAGTTGATTTTAGTTTTGATTGAATATTAATTGGATGTATTAACAAATTTTTCTAAAATTCTATCGTTTAAAAAAACCTGCTAGCATATATTCATTTACAAAAACTCATTTTAAACCCTCGACACTATATGTATGCCTGTAATTATTCTTTCTGTATGACTTGACAAAGTTACTTGCAAAATTATTTAAACACAGCAGCAAAATTCAAGCTAGTCATAACACAATTGTAATGACAATACTTATGCTACTATCGCTGTGCACACACACAACACACACATATATATATATATATAGTGAAATCATGTTGACAATTTCAATACTTCCTGACCTTGTTACTAGCACCAAATATTTGCCACTCTCACCCAATCCACAGCCAAATGGGAAAAGTAAATCCCTATATAACTTTCAATATAAGGATTAAGATACGTTACAAGATATAAGTTAGGATTACTTTATGCCAGAATGAAGAGTTTTTCATATCAGATATCACTGGCCATGGTTATTATAAGACACTAACCAAATAATGGCACTGAACTGCAATCAGATTCAAAAATACCAAGTCTGAAAATATGTGACTATGTATCCATTACAGTAATAACAGGATAGATTGTTTAGACAAAGTATTTATGATGAAACTTTGTTGAATGAACGGCAACTGCCTGTTGTAGAGACACAAGTGTTGAGGATGATGTTTCAAAAGTCTTTCATCTTTCGTATTCAGACGGAAGACTTTCTAAACGTTGTCCTCTACACTCGTGTCTCTACAGCAGGCAGTTGCCGTCCATTCTACAAAGTTTCATGAGGAATATAAGCATTACAAGTCAAACTGGCATAAACAGTCACTTCCCTATTGAAATCTACCACAACTGACTTAATCAGCTACTGCATGTCTGCTTCCAACCATAGTAAATTAATGTATTAGCATTTATTATACTTGGCAAATAAACATTTGGTAGCTTTTAATAATAAATTTAGATTAGGCCTAACTTCGCCAAGTTCAACTTTAACTTTTAGTCTAACGTGATGATATAACAACTTACACAGTATTGTACTACCTCTACCAGCATAAACTACGAAACTTTAAAAATAACTTGAATTATTCCCTTAAATTTACTGCATCTACCACATTCTGAAGGCAACAAATTCCAAAAAGAAAAACAACCACCTTGTTAGTGTTAGAAATATAAAATTAAAACTGTTTAAATTGAGCTGAAGATAACTCCTATCACTATCAATACAAGTACGACTACAAATACAATTATAAAATTTAGTATAGTCTTAGTAGTACTGTATTTCGAGAACAATATGGTAGATTAGTTGCCTAGTAATAATAATAATTTTGAGAATCGATAAGTGACTAATACTAATAGTACTAATTTAATTAGAAATAATATAGTATTAGTAATAGTAGGCCTGCATAGTCAGGTTATTTTGGTGTTGCTTTGTTAAGCCTAAGTTATACTCATGCTTAAAAAAAACACTAGAACTTACTTCTAATATAAAAATTAAAAGTCAGATTGACTAAACACTATTAAATATTATTTTCAAATCACATACCGAAGCCTTTGATTAACTCTGTGAACACTCCGGGATCACTTTCAATAAGACACCAATCTCCAGCGCTTGTTCCACCAGCCATATTGTTTGCATTGAATCGCTAAGACTTAATAAAAGATGCAACGCTTGGTAAAAATTGTTTTTATTATTATTATTATTTGTTTATGCCACATGTAAATTAAGAGCAGCAATTGAGTTTATTACGAATTTAAAAAAAAATAACAAAACTTTCTTATATTTTTCATAACGTTATTATTTGTTTCAGTACGTGTAGCATTAATAATAATTTTGAACCTCTGTGAAATTGAAAGGCTTTTGGACAATAGCAGCAGGGTAATATTAGTCAAATTCTGATAGAAAAAAAAGTTTGATTCAGCCGTCATCAAAATTAAACGCCTTCTTCTATCAGTGAAGTAGAAGGAATCAAAAACTTTTATCAAGATGTTGATGAAGCTATGCAGGATGTGATGTTTGTTGAATTTCACGCAAAGTTACTAAAGCAACGGCCGTCCATAATTTTGAAGTGATAGACAAGAAGGAAAGCATTTAGTCAACACCACTCATCGCTAACTCTTTATTAATAAACAGTGAGATTAACTATTACATTATAACGCCCACAAAGTTGAAAGGGCGAGCATAATTGATGACGGGGTTTGATTCCGTGAGGAGAGCTCATTGCAGTTTTATGAAGAAAAAGGCTTAGTAATAAGCAGTACTTGGCTTCAGCATCACAAAAGACATTTGTACACGAGAAAATCACTACAGGATGGTGAGAGTTGTGAAATATCAGACAGATTACATTCTAATTCAAGAATATTTCAGAAAACCTAGTAATAAATAGAACATATCCGGGAGTTGATCAGTGATCAAACAAATAAGACCAAAACAGTGTTAAATGGGATTTAGACCAATTTAGAAAACAACAAATAAACATAGCCAGTGATTATGATAGAGGCTCAAATCTGATTTGAAGTATTAATAAAAGTGTGGTATGTAGGCATACTATGCATTTTCTACCTTCTTATTGTATTGTAAAAATGTTTATTTTTTTCTTTTATTCTAAGTCTATTCGCTTTTACATAATATGTGATACAGAAGAACGTTGACTTCGTTTTAGCTACATTTGTTTCCTGCTGGTGGTCTTACTACAACAGTGCATCTTGTATAAGGTTTGTTTGTTTGTATTTAAGCACAAAGCTACAAAATGGACTACCACGGCTATCGAAACCCGGTTTCTAGCGTTGTTGTACAAAAAGGTAAACGACAGCAATGTCCTCCTCTGGTAGAGTAAATGATTTCCAAAGGTTACGACGCCTCCCCTTTGTTGAATGAAAATGACCAGCAGGTGGGTAGTGCTAATCACTATGGGTGACTCCAACATTTTATTTTAAGAAACGTTAGATGTAAACAGTCTACACAGTATCTTAATTTTAATATAAGTGAGTTGGTTGACAGAAATACATATTGAGTGAAGAAAATCTATTAATCAATTTACCAGTCTAATAGAAAGTGGCCATCTTTAGTCCTAGCGTGAGTGCAAACACTTTAGTTTTGTTTGTTGAATAAATAATTATTGTTTTCATTTTCTGCTACACATCATGTACTAGATACGTTCATTTGATTGCTTATCTATTTAAATTAGATCTTTTCGAGATCCACTTGAGATTCTTTAACGCATTTAATCTAAATTGGTTCAACCAGTTCTTCACAACAAATTAAAATATAAAGACACCAGACAGACATATAGTCCGGAT